ACTGCTTTTAATAGCCGGCTTTCGTAAATAGTGATTGATTTTTATTTTATTTTAAAAATGACTCACATTGCCAACGAATGTTTTTTGGATCACTACACTTATATTATGCAAATTCAGTGACTCAATCTTTCCTAGTATTTGTCAACAATAGTTATTTAATCGTATACTTTTCTTGATAAACAGGGCATTTCCTGAATTTAAATTCTCTTTTGTTATTTCGAAAAGTTTTATCTAAAAACATAAAATTTTAAGCTTTATCTACAGGCGACCTAAAACAGAATCATAAATTTCTGTTTAAAATTAAAGTTTGTATAAAATTATCTTAATTCATTAAAAAACCAAAGCTACCATTTTACTTTTTAACAGAAAATTTAAAATAGTCACTTTACAAAATTTGTTGTTTTTATAGATGGTGGTTGGCTTTCTGCGTTTTTAAATTAAAAGCTATCTCTAAGATCCGAAATTGATAAACAAAAAATGACAAAGCTGCCAGAAATATATTAAAGAGGATAATATAGAGATACCAATTCCCCATTGACCAATATTTTTCCGATTGATTTATGCAGTCATCAAAGCACGAAGGAGAAAAAACCAACAGCACACACAGGCCATTAACAAATAAGCGTTAATGAAAATGTGCACACAGGCAAACAGTCGCAGTCAGCATCACACACACAACACAGCTGCCATTAAAACAACATTAAAAAGTAAAACAAACAGCCATGGCAACTAAATTTTTCTACTTTTTGTTTTCCAAGTCGCCGCTGGAGATGATTACATTTCGATAAAAACCGAGGAGAGTAAGATAGAGACGCAAGATAGCTCAATGACAAGGTAAGCACACACACATAACCAAACTCAGGTGACAATGCAGGTGTGCAGCAGTGTTGTAAAAAAGCTTAGCTGCGGAAGTGTTGATTAATTGCCGCGCATCCGCATAATACTTTTAAGTGCATATATTTTAAAATTGTTTACAGAGTTTGTTTATAAAACAGTTATGAAATCTATTTTTTATAAAATGCAATTAAATAAAATTTGTTTTTTCAACTTCCCATTTTATTTTAAATGAATACATTTTATCATTAGAGAAATTGAATTAGCAGTCTAAAATTAAAATTAGGTAAAGGCACAAAAAGTGACACATTAACAACAATTAAATTATCAATGCCTCGCAAATTAAAAACAAATCCAAATATTTATAATTAACATCCCTTGACTTGAATTGAACATGCGTCTTCATAATTGTTTTGGCACAGAGGCCAATATTTTGTATTATATGCATATCTAACCTTCATTTCATTATTCTCAGTTATTTGGCAGTGCCAAAAAATTAAATTGCCATACGAGATTTATTTATTTTTGCTTCTCGCTCATTTGCATTTTATTTTTACCCACAATTCGTTTCACCTTTAATTTTCCCTTTATTGGATGCGGTTCTTGGTAAAATCTTGACACCACCTGACATCTGAGTCATAGAAAACTCAATCGGCGTTAAATTGAATTTGACGCAGTCCCGCAACCGCATTTTTTCCTTGGTAGATCGAAAGCGAGTGGCAAAACAAAAACAAATCAGAGAGCAAAGCAAACAATCAATTGCACAATTAGTCATTTCTTTAATTAATAATTCACTATTTTTAACTGTGCGCCAGTCAATGATAATGCCGTCGTTGATGACGATTATGAGGTTCACTATATGAGTCTGATGATGAGCTCAGGTTATAACAATTTCAAAAAAGGCAGCACATAAAGTTATTATCGTTGCTAACTTAAGCACATGCACACGTACAAAATACTTATTTTCGCTCATGTTTTAACTTTACATAACTAAATAAAAAAATATACTATATTGATTTTTTTATACAAAATTCCAATAATATTGTAGAAATTTCTTAAATAATATATAATTATCGTTTGAAAAATGCTAGGAAATGTGGAAATAATAAGATTTAGATACATGTTTTAAAATCTTAATAATCGGTTTTTTATATTAAAAAAAATATAATGTTCTTTAAAAATTATAAGGAGTACATTTGTTTTTGTTTTTTATTTTAAATAACGATCGTGATTTAGGTGCCCAATTTTTTTTTCTGTGCACACCACAAGAAATTTATCGTATTTAAAAAAAAAAATTTTACACCTTGAACTTTGACGCAACACGAAAGCGTCGCTACTTCAGCCGGCGTCGTCATTTAACTTGAAGCTCGAGTGCAATATGTCTGCCGATCTCTCAGGTATACCCCCATATCCCCTCCCCACGACCCCTGCCACGCCTCCTCACCTTCGCCGTACGTGGAAACGTGCTCATACATATACTCAACAACCAGACAAAAACCCTCACACACAGGGGCACATGTAATTGAAGTATTCGAAAAGCAAAAAAAAAAAAAAATAAAAATACATAATAAAAAAACAAAAGACGACGAGGCATGAAAAGCAGAAGAAGCAGATGCTGCCTAAGCTTGTCTTTCGGTTTCGGATGTGTGTGCATTTTGTGAACAACGAAAAGAACAATGTGAAAACAAGGCAGTAAAGGGTTAAGAAGTAACGATTACCCTTTAAGCGAATATCCATTATTGGATCCCAAATACAATAAGATCAACACTTGGATTGAAGACTTATATTTTAAAAATGCTTTCTTTGCATTATAGACACTTCACTTGAAAAAAGTATTTTTATTTCTAAGAAATTATATTCTAAAATCAGCATGGCTAGTTAAATATAATTAATTTAAAGTATATTTCTGAAATCGAAAAATTGAAGAATTTATTCATAAATGAAATCAACTGGATACAGTTCAGTCCCCTTTTAAAGGGTATTCAACCTGTTCTTTTATTTTTGGTTATTTATTTTTTACCAAATTTTTTGACATTTTCAGCATCGATTTCGTGCTAATGACAACTACAAACTGGAATTGTTTTTTGGGGGAATAATGCAAATGAGTGGAAGTTATTGAAAATCAATGAAGCATCATCAAATTGTTTTTAGAACTCTGCGCTCGCCTTCTTAGTTAACTGACCTTCACAGATGAGCGTAGAGAATTCTCCCATTCAGTTGGTAGTTACTTGGGTGCGGCCACAAAATTAACAACTTTTGGAGGCTGAGAGACAACAAAAGAAAGCTGCGGAATTTTAGCAATGCGGCCAGCGATGGACGGCCAATGATCTCGCCCTCCTCCTCCTCCCACAAAAAGCCAGCTAGACAACAAACAGCTTTTCCTTCAACTCAAATATACCGTGATCACTCAACAGGTGGCCTTTGGATTTCAGGTGGATTTACTAAACGAGTTTTGACTTTGGAGTCAACTATTCACAATGTAATTAGGCACATGTTTCCCTTAGAGATTAACGAGTTTGTACATTTTTTTAAGTTTATTTGAAGAAATGATGCGTTTTATTATGCCAGAAATACTTTTGATGATGCTGAGACCTATAAAGACTTTAGTATTGAAATAATCAACAAAATATATATTTACTATTCATTTTGAAATAACATTTTACATTATTTTAAAATTTCAGCAGCGTAGCGATGACTGTATCTCATTTTTTGAGCACGCGGTCAGCGTCAGGTGTAGATAAAAGTAAGCTTATGCACCTGATAAAACATTTAATTTATATACACAGACATTCACAGTCATTGCAGAGAAAAGCAAAAGCAAACTCCACAAAAAATGGCTTAATAAAATGCTGAAAATGTACGTTAATATGCACTACTCTATCATTTGAGAAATTAAAAAGCGAATTTAAATGCATTGAGACACGCGCGCAAGTCGGCAACAGCGATCGCATGCCATGGTCGTACGACCCCCTAACCCGCCCCCTCTCGACACTACAAGCAAAAACTCGACCGATCATAATTACGATTTTAATGGGTTTAACAAAAACGTTTTTGGCCGTTTTACTTTAAATCTTAAATAAAAAATAAATAGACAGCACTTGTTAACATGTGGAATTTTTTATTTAATTTTTATTTAAACAATTTTTAAAAATTTCGTTTTAAAACTCTTAAAGGATTTTCATACAAAAAATGTTATATAAATCCATTTTTCTTTGAAGTTGAATGCCTTTTTAGCAGCTTTATTGAGCTAACTAACAAAAGCAGTTGTTATTCCGACAATATCCTAATTGATTCCAATAATCACCAATAATTTTGGCATCCCCATCGATTTCTCGGTAAAACCTTATGTAAGAGGAAGTTGTTCCCCGATCGACTTCCACTTTACCACTTATTTGGCATCGATTGCATTTCACGACAGTCCATATAAAGGCGGCTGAATCTCTTTCCTGTCGATTTTCCGACTTTTCGCCATCGCAAATAGCTGTTAGTTTCGGTTTTGGTCTTGGTTTTGGTCATTTACACTGTCCACCAGTCTATCAACTTGTTTATGAGCTGGCTGCAGAAGGGGCAGGGGAAGGAGGAGGTGTTCACCTGGTGCAGAGTGTGTGGCTCTACAGTGATCCCTCACTAAAAACCTATATTACAAGTTTTAGATATCCTAATAATTTACAAATGAATAATAAGGGTTAGTACAACGACTGATTATTCTTTACTTTCGATTTATATAAAAAGGAAGCAATGAGATTAAATGAACCTCAATAATTCGAGACTTTAATTGTGACTTGACTTTAATATTCCATGACAAGATTTGTTTCACAGTCTGTACAAAATACAGCAAAATTATCAATTGGTTTTTATCTAATACGTCTTTGACATTGGTCTTCAATTGCATGAAACATCTGTTTAACATTTGGCGAGGGATCACTGTAGTTGCTTTTTCTGCTGGTCAGAGATTTTGCTGCTTCTCTGCGCTTTTGTTGCTGCCTTTTAGAAAGTATGTCAGTTTAGAAAAGCCGTTGACTGTCCACCTCTGGTCACTCACACTAAGGCACTCGCACTGGCACACACTGACACTCACACGGGCACAGGTACACACACACACATTCACACCTGTGTGCTTAACTTTAGTTTAGACTTAAAAATGTGTTTGAATGTTGAATACCAACCGCAGTTTGTTTTTGCTTCTTCTCGCTTTCGATTCTTCTTCTCGTTGGATCAACACTAAAGAACACACGAAAAAAAACGTCAAAAATTGCGGGAGCGTCCAAAGGAAAGAGTGTATCACAACAACAACGTTAGCAACAGCGGCGCAGCGCACACAACGGTAGCTTGGCTGAGAGGAAATCGGAGTAAACGTCTGCTAGAAACGAGCGCGCCGTCGCGACTGTCTCAGTTTTTTTGCCACAGCGGCGAGCTGCTGCGTCGCTGCCAACGCCGACGTCGCTGCTTTCGCTTGGCGCCAAGAGAGCACATGAGAGCGGATCCAAGCTTAATCTCTCCGAGCGGAGCGAAAACAGCGACGCCAGCGTCGGCAGCGAACCGAACGAAATTTAACAATAACTTAGCAACAAAAAAAACAGAGCGCTTCAGTCGACTAAGGGATACCCAGCAAAAGGAGTAGTGATACTGAAACATATGTAAATATGATACAAAGTTTATCCGGATAAAAATATGTGATAAAATATATATTAAACAGATGAACTGTAAAAAAGAATGTTTGATATACGAATATTTTGAAGCAATACAAATCCTACAGATGGAGTTACTTCGGATAACATTAAAAAGACAAAAGATGAAAATAGTTTCTCCGAAAGTTGTCGTTTTGTTAAGTTTTAAAGTTAAAGATCACAGGAACTCAACACTCAAATAACTAATATAATAGTAATTAAATTGATCTATTTTAATCAATAAAGTCAATGAAAATGTTTGGGACAATTTATTTTACATGTACAATTTATTAGCTAAAACTCCAATTTGTTATCTTATAGATCAAATATGTCAACTCTCAGAGTGCTATCAACTCTTATGATCAATCCAGGTTAGTTAAGCCACAGGTATTTGGAAAACCTTATTATGGTTGCATTGTTTTGCGGAATCGCTATTCACTGTTGCAATCTACGACTCTGACCCGCCTTGTAAACGTTGTTTCTAAGATATACTAAGCCGACCCCACGCAATTGAAATGAAAATAGAACTATTAACAGTGCTAAGAAGTTAGCAAACATCGAGTCAGAGCCAGCGGATCGTATTCCCGAGAACCAAGTGTAACCGATATCACCCGTCAAGACCTTGGGTCCAACATTCCGGCAGTCGCAAGCCAACATGCCAACATGTGTACTTACGAACGTACAGAAAAGTGCGATGTGAGCATATCACCAATAACACTTAGTCAAGGCTTAGTGAAGTACAGTGAACCCTGTGAGTTTACAGTTTTCATGAATTTGTAGAATCCAAAAGTATACTTTTCAAAGCCTTAAAGTCTTATTACCGATAAGGAATTTACAAAAAATTCAAGAATGTTTTTTAACAACTGGCAATTGAACGACAAGATTAATAATATTTCAGTTTTTATTAGTTGTAAGTGAATTTAAAAATTATTTAAAGGTATATCGATATTAAAGGATCGATCAGTTTTTTTTAAATCGATTATTTTTAAAATATCAATTTCGATCGATTGTGATCAGACAAAATTTTTTTTAAGCACTAGCAGCCTTAGTTATGGAGCTATCCACTCCATTCATTTAGGATATCAGCAGTGGAGCAATGCTCTCAAAACCAAAAATAGAACATTACGTAGTACCCGAAACGCGAAAAAAATAAAAAAAAACAATATAGCATATCAACTTGAGAATTGATAAAAACAAAAAAAAACACAGCAACAGCCACAAGTACTGCAAAACTGTACAAATAAATGTATGTTATCACTCGAGTTGGCGCGTAAGCAAAAGAAAAACGAAAACTTAAGCTCCATAAATGATTTAAAAGAAATGATTAGCGATATTAAATGCAATTTATTCGGCAAGGGGTAAATGAGTTCCATAGGGGCGTACGTAATCAAACAAATTTAGTGTTTCTAATTTCTAATCAATATTACTGATTAACTGATTAAAAGAAGAATTAAAGATATAAGCTTAATTTTAGTATACTTCACTATACTTTTTACGCAAAACATAAAAGGTTAAGTTTCTAAAATAACTATATTTTGGTTAAATTTAGTAGTATAAAAGATATTTATGAAAATATGGTTTTGCAAACGAATCACGTTAAACTGGTTTATTTAATTTTAGATAAATCTGTTTGGAGTTATGATGTAATATTTTAAGGGGTTAAAGTACTCCTTATCTTTATTTGTTTAAACTCAATCGAAAAGTTAAAATATCAACTGCTCAGAATTTTAATTAAACACTCCTAAAATTGTTAACTGATCAACAATGAGAAATGGCGATCAACGTTCCAGAATCTTTTCTCAGCCAGCCAGTTCCAACAAAAGAGACAACTCCTTGAGTGTTTTTATTTATATTTTTATTTTTTGAACGCTCTTTCACTTTCAAAAGCACTTAAACAACACACAAAAAAGCAGCAGTGGCGAGAAGAAGAAAAGTAAAAGCCCACGCAAAGTGTTGTGCAAGTGAAAAAGAGAAAGATAAGATACGAAAATGGTTAAATGGATTGTAAGGGGGAAGCGAAGAAAGGGGTGGGATCTGGAGGTCGCTGGCAGTAAAGACACAACTATTCAGAACACCAAAGTTATGTTATCTATCCAACTAAAGAATACTCCTGATGGCTTAAAAGATTGCAAAAGTGGAGTTTTCCGAACAAAACAACGATTTACCATCGAGTAGAATAGAGCCTCAAAGAACTCCCACAATTGACAGTATTGTAAACTTGACATTTCTTAGAAAACAAAGTTACAGACAAATAATAAGTTGCAAATAATCCCAATGCAACACCACACGCTTTCTGAAAAAGAAAGGCTATAGATTTTGTAGATCGCGAGATTTTTAAACAAGTTCTTATACTCCTACTTCCATTGACCCAGTAAACCTCCGTTCTCCCCCTTTTTATCCCGACTTATCTCGCTGCATTCTCTTCTGACTCATTGCATTGATAAATATCTCACGCGTCGCAGCTTTTGAAAAATTGGGTGAAGGGCGAGCTAAAGTTACTCACTTGGAAAACTTTAAGATTTATTAAAAAAATAAAATGGTTTTCGACAAAAATGTATTAATTCGGCTTCTCTTTCGGCACTCTTTTGGTTACTCTCTTTTCTCCGCTTCTCTCTTTTTTTAACGGCTGCGGCGAAGTGCACGTAGCAAAAGTCCGAAACAAAATGAGTAAGGCCAAAAAAACGAAGCAAAACGAAATGCAATTGGGGAGAAATAAAAGAGAGCGGGAGAGAATGCAAAGATGATCGGTAAACAAACAACAATAATTTGAATTTTATGTGCAGTCAAAAAAAAAAAACAAGTCACGCGGCTTAACAGCCAGTGTTGCCAATTATCGTTGGCCAAAAAGATGAGAATCAAGGTGTCGTGGAGAACATATATGTAAAATGATTAAAATTAAATCGGGAATGATATGGTTGTTATAGTTAATGAATCAAACATTAACCGCTTGTAAATTTTATTATACAACAACTTGTGTACAAAATGTTATAAAAAAATATTCTGACTCTGTAAATTCCACATAAGTACCATATGGTAGTCAGCTTCCAAGAAACAACATATATTTCGAAACCACAAATTTATAAGCTAGCAGAAAAGTTATGGCTAAAGCAAGGGTTAAAATGTAGGGCGCCATTCATGATCGCCAAGCGTAACAAGTGTTAATTTGATCAGGTGGCAACACTGGGAAATTTGAAAGCAACGTTTTCCCCATTACGTAATGATCTGGTCTCGCTCTCTCTCTATCTCTCTCCCCTTTTCTCTTTATCCATATATTTTACTCTCTACGCGCTTAACTAGTCAAGCATAACAACACAAACAACAACTCGTTTTGGTTAATTAACATAAAAAACGGTACAAAAACAACAAAACGCTGCACACTTGTTGCACCCAAAAAAAAAAACCAAGAGAGGAAAATAAAGTAACGAAAAATGAAAAGCCGACGCCTGAGCAAACACAAGAGAGCATTTCCAGAGAGCCAGAGAAATTGAGGAAAAGATAGGGAGAGTGGAAGAAAGAGAGAGGAAGTTCCTTTCCTTTTATCGAAAAATTTCAAGTTCGCAGTCGGCTTAAAAAAAAACTGCATTGCAAAAATACGCAAATGTTTACAGATGCAGTAAAACCTCGCAAAGCAAAATAAAAAACCACAACTAATACTTCAAACTTATCTAAGTATATTTAATTTCGTAATTTAAGAATGACTTATCAGGTTTTTGTATTGTATTTGTATAATTTTTATATGAATAAATTTAAATATTTTTTCCCTTTTAGAAAATAAAGAGAAAACAAAGAGATGGTGTTCTTTATATAAATTAAAGATTCAGAAGAGGACAGTTTGAAGTTTCAGCACACTTTAGTTCTTTTACCAGCGATCGCTGTACTTCGATAGCATTCGGTCTGCGCCCTTCTGTTTCGTGAATAAATAAATACAAATTTAACGAACGCTTGGGCGGCAAACAGACGCAACCATGACGTCAGGCGCTTTCGGTGTCTCGCGCGCATTTCGCCTTTGTGTTCGTTGCAAATTTTGTGTATTCAATGTCAAAACCCATGGCCCGAAACACGGCCAAAAGCCATTCCCAACCGCCAAAAAAAAGCCCCCAGCCAGACAATTGTGGGTGCGTTTAGGGATGGAAAACTCAGTCGACTATATAACCTGAATCTCGATTTGCCAATTTCAAAAACGAAATATTTTTTCAGCCTGAAATCTTTAAAATAATTATTTTTTTGAAAAGGTCTTGCAACGCGTTTGACTCGGGATACATTTACGAGTTGGTTTTAAGTAACATTCAGAAACGAAAAATATAACATTTTTAAAGGCCAATCGGTAAAATGTAATTATTATGTATTTTTATGTTAAGAACAACCTTTTACAGCAAATACCGGTAATAAACAGATGTAAATCGGATCATTTATTCAGAGCTTGCTTGATCCTTAAGATCCTCACGCTACCATCTTTACATTCAAAGTTTGGGCGATTTTTTTTACCTGCCCGAGCGATAAAGCAAGAAGGATGACGAAGAGGAGAAGATACTAACCAAAATGGCAACACTGAAAACCAGTTTTATTTTCGTATTTCACATTTTTTTTTTATTTGATTTTGTGAGCGCATCAAAAAATATGCAAACGTAGAAAAAATACGTTTCCAGTCAAATATAAATGTGCTAATTGAGCTAATGGAGAAAGAGTTGACCATTTTCCAAACTATAAATCAAATAATGAATGACCAAACAACAAATCCGAGCGCCAGAAAGAGAGGAGTGTAAACAAAAAGGCGGACAGCATCCGCTGCCAATGGCAGTGTGTGGGTGCGAGCGAGATGGTCGTTAGCCTAGTTATGCCAGATGCGAGTAATGGGTATCAGGGAAATATCAGTTTTTTGAGTGAATCGGTTTGGCAATTATGCAAATTATACAAATAGATCTGATGAAAACGATTACTGACAATAAAGTTCGCACTTAAGAAAACCAAAAAATTGTTTTTAAGTATGTGTAAGCTTTCTATCTATCTATTTTCTGGGCAGCAGATATGAAACGGATTCGTAACGTTTACAAATCCAACATTGTTCAATGTAGTTATCGTTTTTTGAAAATAAATTTTTTTATATTAAAAAATTTAAGAAATTGAAATAGTTTAAGAAAAAAACATTTTCTAGGGTATTTGTTAAGCCCTAACATGTGCGGCATGCAAATTTCTATGTCTGTTCGTTGGACTCGATCGATTCCCAACAAGTTGTTTCGGCTTATTGAACAGCATTCATTTGAGAAATGAAGAAGCTGACAACTTTGTCGCTTTCTCAGTGCCACACAAAACCGTTACAAATTGGCCGGGGAATGTGAGAAAAGAGGAAGATGTCTATAAAGAAAGGGCACTCGGAAAAAATATTGTATTATTGAAGACCTCTTAATTTAAGATCACGTTATTTAATATCGTTTTATTTAATATTTATTTCTTTTATTTGACAATTTAATTATTATTTTTATTATTGATGTTTAATAACTGATTTAAGCATCTGCAACCTTTGTCTCTGTGCAGATGCTAGACAAGATCGGCTGACTCACAATTTATTTAGTAAGACCCTGCCCTGACAATGCATGACAAATCACAAAAGAAAGAAGTAAGCAAGCAGTCTGAACAGCCTGGAAGTGACCCGGTTTAATAATAATAAATAATAATATACGAGGGAAGTGGAAGAGCGAGTAATTCGAACAGCTTTTCGAACCCGTATCAGAAACGGGCCACCAAACAGCACCGACAGCGATGAGCTTGAGATCCTTCGATAGGCGTGATATCAAAGCAGTGATGTACCAATATTTTTTGGAAAGTTCTATTGTAGGGTTTCACTAAAGCGATCTATATTATTTGACAATTCAAAAAGAAAACTCGTTACTCAAAACACTTTTTTTGTAATTATACTTAATTTTTTTTTAAATTTTCCGGATATTTTTGAGACAATTAATATTTAATTTATTGTTGATAATAATAATAATATTTCAGATTAAAATGGTGATACAAAAATAATTTATATGATTTCTGTTGAAAGACTTTAATTGATAACATTTTGATGGTGATCAAAATTAAATTTATTTTGGTGTTGGAATTTTTTGGCCTTTTTAGCTATCTGTGTAGGCATCACCGATCGCCAGTTAACGTGGTTGGGGAAAAGCGCAGCACGCAGTTCCAATTGGAAGCGCGATATTCTAACTGGAAAATGCGACTTCATGCTAATGGGATAAATGATTCAAAAGCCCAAGGCATGTGCGAAAGAGATGGCGAAAGGGGTGAAGGCGAAGGCGAGACAAAGACGGCGGAAAACTTTAGCTGGAAAAACGGTGGTTGGAGTAACGGCTGCAATTTTCACACGCTTCTTTCACACACACACACACACACACACACACACACTAATTTATAAGCAGCTGCCAAAAAAAATTAAAAATTCACTCCAAAATTATGGGGCTGGTTCTGTCTAATGTCGAATTAATTTAAGAAGCTTTGGTGCGTGCGAGAGGAAAATAAGATAGTCTTTGAATATTTTATTTATTCATTTGTGATTATTTATGACTTTGTTGTATTGCCATTTAATTTTTAAAGTGTTTTTTTAATGCCGGTTAATGACTCACACTCCATTTCCTCTCTCTTTCGCACACATACTGCCACATACCGGTATTTCAGCCTTTGCTTTACTCTCTTTCTTCGATTGTTTCACATTTCTTTCTTATTATTTAGAGTAAAAAAAAAGACAGTTAAATACGAAAAACTCACTCACACACGCATGGAAAGCACTTTTTGTTTTTTGCCTTGCCGGCAAAAGGAAAACTTGTGTTTTAATGGCTTTTCGGCTTTAGTCGGTTGTTTTCTTCCGTTTTTATTTTTTTATTTTTGCACACACACGGAAAAAAATTGAGATCTCGTCGCAGCGAAAAACGCAACACGAATAAAAAATGCGGACAATAAAAACTGTTTTTTGCCGGTGTGTGAAAGTATGCGTGTGTGTGTGTGAAAGAGAGCCGCGTGTGCATAAGTATGTGTGCGCTTGTTGCGCTTTTATCTAGTGCCTTGGAATTTGGTACTTCTATTTGGCTTTTCACTTACGTTTCGTTTTCGATTCCAATTGCCGCGTGTTTTTCCGGTTTTCCTTTTGGTTCCTTTGTTTTCCCTGGTGTTTCGCAAACGAAACGAAAAATCAAATAAACGCAAAAAAAAGAGCGAAAACGAAAAACAAAAACTGTTGGTCGAAGTGTGACCGTCTCTGGATCGTATAAATATACCAACCGGTTTTCAAAAATGTCCTAGAAATGACCATACGCCGTTAGCGAAGACACACACCGCAGTTAGCGGAAATACCGTCGACATATATCAAATACACCAACCATTTCGGTTTTTTTTTAAATATCCCTTAGCGCGAAGATTTGAATATATCCTGTAGTTTACTTGTTCATTAAGTATTAAGAAGCCACCAAAATAATGTTATTCTAAAAAAGCCAATAATTTTAATAGAAAAGTGTTTAGAATTAAAACAAAAGTAAATGTAAGTTTTCCTGTCGAGATAATGAACAAATGACTTATTAAATGTTTGCTAGTAGACACTTAAATACAATAATAAAATCTGCTGAACTATCCCAAAACATATATAAACTAAAACTTTATTTAAATCCCAGTTGACAAAATGTAAAAGTCAATAATATTGAGTACAACTAAAGTCAATAATCGCTTAAATTTACTTTAGTTCTCTGCCACCTCCGATTTGACCCACAAAGACTACCGACTAAATTTAGAAAAGAAACAATTTATTCAGCTTAATCCAATGGTAAACAGAAAATAAAGACGTCGGCATTTGATGCCCGCTAATTTTGTACTCGCTCGGAGGTCAATCGAAAAAAAAACTACGAGTTTAAGTCTTTTTTTGTGTTTCTTTTGGGGGACGTAATTACTTATCCTGGGATATTTAATCATGTGGATTCTAATTGTGATTTTATTTTCTAGTCTTAGAAGAATTAACATAACAAAGTCGTAGAATTTAACCTTTTCTTTGAATTTTGCAACCAAAGTCCAAAGTCCTGCTTTTTCCACATAACTCATACAATTTTATATGGGACATATATGATTTCCAATATTGGGAATCTTAGGCTTACATTTTTTAACTGGGAAGTTTAAGATGCAGAAAGAATTTTATAATCTTGGAATTCTAAAACGTTAGAATCTTTAGGATATTACTTAACAATTTGAGTTATACCTATGAAAGTGATACGATTAGAGATTTATCCAGGGGTTTAATAAGCCTAGGGTTATAATGTGCTGTTTTTTGAAATTACACAGCTGCAAAATCCAAACCCTTGGCTTTATTCATATGAAAATGATAGATAATGCAGGCTTATGGTGTCTTGGACATTTGACCTGCTCACGAATCTTAGGGTTACGCGTCTTAATTGTTATTCTCGAGGGCGGCGATCCGTTCGCGCTCCTTGAGCAGCCGTTCGCGGCTGTCCTGCGGATTGAGCAGCACCTTGACCAGATGCTCCACGGTGGGCCGCTCGGCGGTACAGTAGACCTTCAGGCCCTGCGACTCGAGGGCTCGCCGGGTGCTCGGCCCGATGGCCACCAGCTTCCACTTGTCCATGGACAGCTGGCGCGCCCCGAAGTACTGCTGGGCGCAGGTGACGCCCGATGGCGAGAAGAAGGCCAGGAATTCGATGGACTCGCCGTAGATCTCCAGTGCCCGCTCCACATTCTCGCCCAGCTCGGGATGGCAGCGCGTCTCGTAGACTTCGCAGGCGTCCACGGAGAAACCGTTCTCCGCCAGCTTCGAGAGCAGCGTGTCGGTGGCCAAATTGCCGCACGGCAGGAGCAGCGGCAGTGCGCGCGATCCATCGAACGTGTCCACAATGTACTCGCCGAGGGCCCGGGCATTCCCCGTCTGCTTGCCGTGCGTGAAGAGCTGGTCCAAGGTGCTGAGGGCCAGATTGTGGGTCACCTCGCCGACGGCATAGTTATGCAACATCTTCCAACCGCCCGGCAGTTGGCCCAGATTGAGGGATTCGGCCACCGCCTCCACGCAACGCGGCGATGTGAAGATGATGCCAGCATATTTGTCCGGATTCTGAAGCTTGACGCGCAGCTCCTCCAAATTCTTGAAGCCAAAACTTAGTGTGGGCACAAAGACCGGATTGAAGTCGTGCTTCTCCAGCGTTTCCGCGTACACATCGCTGCTGTCCGACTCCGATTTGAATATAATCACTGTCCGCTGGCGACTCGTCATCGTTTTATTTTGTTCGCTTCGGTTTTCCCGGACTTTCTGCGCTGACGAAATGCTGCCGTCTTATTTGTGCTTATTTTTCACTTTTTCCGCCTCGTTACTAGACCCGCCGCCGCCGCCGCAGCGCCTCTTTTGCTGGCGGAATAAGCGAAAATAAGCGATATTTACTTTTAGCCTTTTTGCTAATTTCGTGTTGCACCTTCGCACCGTATTGCTATCTCCTTCCGATCAGCTGTTTTGCCGGTGGCCAGAGAGCGTTGCTAGATATGTTGAATTTGTCATATATTTTTTAGCTTGGCTGGTCCCTCTAACAAATCGATGGTAATCGATTTCACCGCGATTAACGCCGTTGAAAACATCGATAATTTTGTGTTTTGTTGCGCTGCACGTGTTCCAAATTTGATTGCATTGGTTTGCTGATTTTGTTGGATTTAAGGCATTTAAAACACCAGCAACGCCATGCAGCACGACGACGTGAGTTTTCTATTTCGCTCAACAAATCAAGGGCTTATTATTAATCTCATTTCCTTTGACATTTCCAGGTGGTTTGGAGCATCATCAACAAGTCCTTCTGCTCGCACAAAGTCAAGTAAGTTATAGAGGATATAGTAGTGCCATATATATTTATGTATATATCTTGACAGGACCGACACACGTACCTTCTGCCGACATGAGTACAATCTCACGGGTCTGTGCACGCGGCGCACCTGTCCACTGGCCAATTCGCAATATGCCACCGTGCGCGAGGAGAAGGGCATCATCTATTTGTTCATCAAGACCGCCGAACGGGCGCACATGCCCAGCAAACTGTGGGAGCGCATCAAGTTGTCGCGCAACTTCGAGAAGGCCATCGAGCAGATCAACGAGAACCTGGTCTTTTGGCCCAAGTACATGATCGCCAAGAACAAGCAGCGCTTCCTCAAGATCACCCAATATTTGATGCGAATGCGCAGGTTGAAGCTGCGCCGCCAGAAGCTGATTGTCCCACTCTCAACGAAGATCGAGCGGCGGGAGGCGCGTCGTGAGGAGAAGGCCTTGGTGGCCGCCAAGATCGACAATCACATCGAGAAGGCCCTGATGGATCGCCTCAAGCATGGCACCTACCGCGACATCTACAACTTTTCGCAGACCGCATTCAACAAGGCTCTGGAGGCGGAACGCGTAGACGACGAGGATGAGGAGCTGGACGACGACGACGAGGAGGAGCAGGAGGTGGAGCGCGAAATGGAGGTGGACGCCGACGATTCCCGCGAAGCTGTCGAGCTGCAAAGGGACCTGCTCGACGAGGAGTTCGTTGAGGCCGATACGGATGATGACGATGATGATGATGATGATGATGATGACGATGAGCAGGCCTACGACAGCGACTCCGGTCGGCGGGAGGAGGTCGAAGTGGGCAGCGATTTCGAGGAGTCTGACGAGGACGACGATGATCCAGATGCAGATGATATTGAGGTAGGTTTTCTGTTTATTAACCCTGATTTGTTGGCAATTTTTTCGACTTTTACAACGTGTTAAAGGTTTTAAATTAATCTCTAGTCTATGCAATTTCGAAGGTGATATTAAGGTAGACTTTTTAAAGTACGTTATACGTTTTTCGAGTTTTTTAAATTGCATTTTAAAACATTTTGAGTTCATTATCTAAAGGGTGTTACCTTTAACTAATCTTTAGCCTATAAAGTCTTAAAGATGATATTGAGATAGTCTTTCTTAAATGTTCATCTTAATTTTGTGAAGTTTTTCAGTTGATTTTAAAACATTTTGAGCTGACCCTATAACGTTATAGGTTGTAAATTAAAAAGTTTAATTTTAATCAGGATTGAATTCTTTATTTTTGCATTCATACTTTTATTTTGTTTACTTAGAGCATTGGCACCTTGAAAAATATTTGAAAAGAGCCAAAACAGCAGATAAAAAGCCTGAAATTGTTAGAAATTTGTTTTTCTAAAATTCTGCCTACGATTAGCACCCCGAAATTACCATAATAAGTAATAGAGAAACGAGTTCTCTGCCCGCGACTTCTGAGAGAATTCTGATTTGCTGTGTGAGCTTTGGAGCACTTTGCCGCTTTTCCATTCAGTTGCTGTTTCCATTCGGTGCGCGTAAAGTTTGAGCTCCAGAAAATTGCCAATAAATCATAGATGCTTGAACTCAAAACCAACGAACTAAACAAACACTTACGATCGCAAACAGGACATTAAAGTGCCCGCCAAAAAGGCCGCCAGCAAGGCGAAGAAGGACAAGAAATCGGCACCAGCGGCCAACAGTCGACGCAGCCGATCGAAACCCAAACTGGAGCTGGAGTACGAGTATGAAGTGGAGAACGAGGTGGAGGCACAGCGGCAGATGCGCCATTAGCCAGGTCCACAATTCGTTCCACCCACTAGCTGTTAACGCTTATTTTTTTAGCCCACTAAATGTGTAATGCCGCTTAAGAATAGTATATTTTATATAAAACAAAACGACACAAAACTGCCTGTAAACATTCTATATGGTGAGTTCCCACATTTCGGAACGATGCATCCCATTCGATTTCATGCACCTCTGCACCTCTCTCTCTCGCTCGCTCGCTCGCTCACTCGCTTTTCCGACCAAAAAGCGTGCTGCTGGCTGACATTGAAAGTGCGTGAGATGAGGGTCAAGAGAGGGGGGCTACGCGGCGGCCATGCAGTGCAAAACCAGTTGCAAAAATATTCTATAAAAACTCTAAACTATTTCGAACAGAGCTACAGTTTTCGCATACCCTGTAAATCGTGTGTGTGGGGTTGCAGGGAAATTCGTTAAGTGATTCGTTTGGATGGGGAAAATATAATAACATTATTAAGGGGAAATAATTAAAAGTTTAAAAACATTGTTAAGCATTTGAAAGAGGCCAAATTACAATAAGCAAATATGCGTATTTGTAAGAAGTTTTCCCAAAAAATTAGGGAATTTAAAAAAAAAAAGTTTTTAAACATAATTGAACATTTGAAAGCCATTATAAAAGGCAAAATTAAAAGAACATTTCTATCTGAAACATATATTTATTTTAAAATGTTTATTTAAAATATGTTTTTCCATTTTCTAATTTTCCATTCATATACCAAAGTGTATGTGAAATTTCATACCTAAATAGGTTGGGTTTTCCAAAAATTCGCCATACAAATACCGCTTTTTAAAGTCTGTAGTACAGACCCCGCACCTCGATTAGCTCTAAACATATAATGCCAGGGCTATTGTTCATGCACCTACTTTACAACTGAAATAATTGTTTACTAAGCAGTATCTTTATGGTCGATACCTCCACGATCGTTAGCTCTGCTGACGGCTAGTGTATATATTAAAACAAAACGCAGTCGTGGGGCTAATTAAATATCGCACGCCAAGTTCAATGCAGCGCAGCCAAGTGATTCCGCAAACCCAACCCAAGATCGTATCGGATCGTATGGAGATTGGATAGCCGATAGACGATAGCCTATAGCCGCCCCTTCTGCCTCAAGGTCATTTGGCATCCGCGGGCAAAGGTTCTGTTTTGCTTAAACTAGCCATAAAAACGCCTCAGACCCACAGGTGTGGATAATCTGGGTTTTACAGTCCGTCAGTTGGGAACAAAAATGATCTTGAAAACCTTTTAGCTTTATTTGACTTCATCCGAATTGAGGGGCGTTTTCATTTGCTGTTATTCGAAAGCGGGGTTTTCCCTGTGGGATGTTAAATACCTGAAATATCGGTAGTTCAATGGGCTAACATAGATTTAAATGCTTACAATTATCTAAAAAAATTTAAGTGATGGGAGCCCGTTTAAGCATTATGATTGATTAGTTACTCTCGACATTAATTCTTATACTAAAGAAATCAAAAGTTTTCACTCAAGCTTAAATTTAAAAAGTGGCAATAACTAAATATTGTGCTTTGATTTTAAAAGAGTAAAGTAAAGTATTCCTGACTGATCTTTCCATATAAATTAGTATATTTGATATCCTGACGAGTTTCATAATTCGAAATTCTGTAGACTAAAACTAGCACACACACACACACACAAAAAAAAAAAGCTTGCCATACGAATGTTGACATTAGTTTGCTAGCTACAAGAATACTATATCCAAAACAATGAACTTGGTCAATTCATTCAAAACACACAGTTGTCAGTTGGGTGTATATACATTATATTAGCAGGTTAAAACTTTAAAGTAAGTTCTCCATTTCTAAGTTAAACAGTTTCTCGTTCTCTTTGTGTTTGCATTGTTTTTAGCTAACCGCAGTTTTTGTAATGTGGGTATTGTAAGCAGCAGTGTTCCCCCATTCAGTTTCACGTGTGTTCTGGTGTTCTGGTGTCGTGGTGTCGTGGAGTTGTGGTGTCCAAGTTAGTTGACACATCTCCTCAGTTTAACGTCAGCGTATTTGGTATTCTTAGGCATTGGGACTGAAGGCCGCCTGGCGGAGCAGCACATAGATCTTCTCCTTGATCCAGTCCTTGTTGTAAGGGGCGTAAGTGTTGGTGCTCTTCTGGTACACCATGCAGCTGATGTCCATCAGTGTGTCGATGAAGTCGAACAGCTGGCTGATGTCGTAAGTGATGGTCGGGGTGTTCGGATTGCGGCGCTTCAAATGCTCCTCGTAGATCTTGCAGACGCCCTCCATGCACTCGTTCACGCTCTCGTAGTCGCAGTAGGTGCGGGTCTCCGGACGAGCACCCGGCTGAACCAGTAGGATTGTATGCGACATGATGATCTGCAAGCCAAAGACCGTAGAATTAATAACTTTTCCATTCGAAATACAACACTTTTAAGAGGAAGACAACCTGACTCCTATATATTTTCGTTCAGTTAACTGATAATCTTACGATAAATACTGAAAAGTTTGTAACTTATCTTATAAACAAAAGAATGATACAAGAATATTCTTCTATAGATCTAGCTATCTAGACAATTCCCACTGGGATACTTGATAGCAAATAAGATTTGTTTAACTTCAAATAATTGTTTACAGTTGACATCCGCTTTCCGCCTAAGAATTGCAAATATCAATATCAGTTATTGCTGAGTTTACAAGAAATTTTGCATTGGTTTGTATACGACATGATGATCTGCAAGCCAAAGACCGTAGAAATAATAAATATTCCATTCGCAATACAATACTTGTTAGGAACCGCCTCTATTTTTGTTCAGTTAACTGATAACCTCACGATGCATATAATCTTACGATAAAAACTGAAATAGACAATAGTCTACTTTTTGTTTATAAGGTTAGTTGAAGTAGAATTTATGTAAATTAAGCTAGCTAGACAATACTTATTGGGTTACTTGAAAGCAAATTGAATTTGTTTAGTCTCAAACATTTGTTTACAGTTGACATCCAATTTCTGCCTAAGAAATGCAAATATCAATTTCATTTATTGCCGAGTTTAAAAAAATGTTTGGAATGGGTTAACAACAATTTAATGGTCCGAATCTAAGTTAATATTCTTTTGTGGGTCTGATAATAGAAATGAATTGTGGGTTATATGAGCTTCTTTTTTTTATTAAAACATATTTTGCTGTCAATGTTGGATGCGAAACTTCCGCAATATCTAAAGATAAATTAGGGAATAAACACTTGGATGTGTGTAAAAACTGGATATATATTAAATATAGTTATGGAATATAAATAAATAACCTTAATAAAAAGTTGTATAAATTTGTCCTGACTTTGACAATGCAAAACTGAAAATAAAACTGTTAAGTACATTACTTTAGAAACTAAGTAAACCGTTTTTATATCAGAAATTGCAATCACTTACTTTTTTAATGAAGTTAAATGAAGTCCAATGAATTCCGAGACTTTTGGCGTTTATTTTATTTTTCGCCAATTCTGCAAAAGATGAAAAATCTCAATTAGATATTATTAAAATCATAAAAACAGAAGAAAACCAACGAAAAATTAGGAATTTCTTGCAATGCATCGCTCCATCTCGCTCGCACCCCTCGGCCACCAAACACTCACATACATGTGCGGGCCAATTTGCAATTGTCGAAGTTAAATGCCGGCCTCCGCAAATAAGAACTAAACTATTGAAGTTAGGAAAACCATTGGCTAACCGGGAAATTGTGATATTTTCATATTTACTGTCTTATTTTTGCCGCTTTAATAAAACACAAAGATTTAGACGCGCTCACACACACATACACACAATTGCCGCCTCGTGTGTGTAACTTACTATATGCTCTTAACTGTTTTTTTCTTTTTGCCGATTTAACGCTTTATATTTTTGTGAAGCTAATAGCTTTCGCCTGGTGTTACACTCACCCGTCTAACAGCTATGAGCTTATGTTGATTCGAGACGGCGATTCAGTAAATTCAACGCTTGCTTGCGTTTTTCTTTTTTTGATTCAGTGCGTCCAGTGCTGGAAAACGAGCGCGGTGGCAGTGCTGCGAGATGAACGGTGCCGCTTGTGATGGTCGCTTTACACTCCGTGACTAACTTATCGGCAGTTAACGATAAGTGACCAGAATATTTAATATGAATTGATTCTTATATATAAGTTTAAAATAAATCTTACTAAGCTTTTTTAGAATTCCAAATGTTTCTTCTCTTAAAATGTTACTACAATAATGACAAAAGCTGCGATTGTCTTAAATCTATCATTGTAAAGCATTTATTACTTCCAATTTACCTTGATAAAAAAAATGTTTTCACTATATTGCTCGCCTAAATATAAAGTGCAACGGATTTTTATATAGTGTTAGAACTTCTTTTAAAATCCTTAAGTTTATAAAACTATAGATAATGACGTTCCCAATGATAAATTGTTATTTTAAATTCTCGTTCGCATGCTAAGAACAGGCTCAACCACAAACTTAAGTAAAGCAAACTTAAAAAAGCAATTATCGTAACGTAAGTGAATATTTAATATTTAATTTATTTGAGTATTTGATGTTTCATAACATAATTTCTTGACTAGCCAAAAACCGTCCTTTCACAAAATATAAATGAAATACATAAAGTTACCGTCGTGATTGTGAAAATCGGCAACAGCTATCGCCCATCGCTAACTCTTCCAGTCTGGCCACCTCGTTTCCAGCCCAGCGTTGCCCAACAGCGGCAAACGCCGATCCAACTGGCCACCAGCTGTTTGATCTCAATTGGACCAATTGGAAGAGCGTGGTGACGCGGGCAGCGCAGTCAACGTCGGCAGCGCGATCGGCAAAGACATCAACAAAAAAAAAAGCAAAATCTCCTCTCAATTTTATTTACGTGCTTTTTGTTTTAGTGAAAAGTGAAGGCGCAGCCGCAGCAGCCCGTATTTTTCGCGTTCCTATTAATTTGTTGTTATTTTCAATTGTGCAAGTGTCGTTCGTGTTTTTTGTTTTTTTGTTGTGTGCGTCTCAAATTAAAGAAAAAATTAAGATGAAATAAATAAAAAGAAAAGTTAATACATAAACAACTGAAATAATGAATAAAAAGCGAAAAATATATATAAATATAATATATAAGAAATAAGTCATAAAGTCAACTAAACAATAAAGAAAACGCAAACGATAATTCAATAACAAAAGTGGAAAAAGTAGCTCCAAAAAGGCAGTCAAATAAGAAAACACAAATCCAACCAACGCGACGCACGCGTGTCCAAATTGCCTCTTCTTCTTGTACTTCGTTCTTTCTACACACGTAGCCATACATATTTATTCATGTGTGGGTGTTGTATCTGTGTTTCTTGTGCATTTTATTTGATTTGTTGCTCATCTTTTATCTTTGAAATCTCAAAACCCCAATGTTCTCAGCGGCCAATGGCAAAATCAAGGTAAAAAGTGTGCTTTTTAAAGTTTCCTACTATTAAATAGGGTATAAGCTTAATTTAAAATGGTTCGTAGATCCGTGAAACCCATTGTGTACTTATTGTTAACATTTCTTAGTATTGTTTTCGTTAAAGATTTATTAAGTTTAAGGTCTACTTCGCTTCTATGAGGATTTCTAACTTATTTTCTCTGCATGTATCTTTATCTAGAATACTCATAAACAAAAAAATAGTACAAAATATTGAAATGTAAGAAAATGAATGAAACTTTGAATAATATCAAAGTCAGGCCAACTTTAATTAAAAATATTTTTTTTATTAAATAAATCATAAAGTGTAGATGTGTGATTAATAATTAAGAAAGAAAGTACAAAATGATTTTATAAAAATCAAATACATTATAGAATGTACATACATACATAGACAGAAAAGTGTTTCTGTTTAAAATTTTTAACAGAGAAAAATTTTAAGTTAAAAATTCTAAAAAAATGTTTTTATGTTTTATAATGGTTTTCATATTTTAAAAGGATTGTTATGCAACCAGATTAGTAAATAAACATAATATTAACATTATTTTAAAGTAAAGTTTATTTATTATAAGATCAAGATTTATATTATTTTTACTGTAGTTCCCTTTATTCTTAAGAAGCTATTTATTGTGCAATTATTTGAAACTGACTGATAACCTCTTCGAAATATATATCCTTACAGTTACCTCCCGAGGATGCTGTTTTGGTGACCTCACCGCTGCGCTGTCTTTTAAACGGTCCATTTCGCGATCTGCATTTCAACGTCAGCGATCACCGCATAATTCCCGTTCACGATGTCGTTTTTCTAGACGACTTCGAACGCAACGTGAAACCTTTGATCTACCGCCCTGTGACGTCAGAGGTCGCAGTCGCTGACTCTGCCAACGTCGACGTCGATGCAACACCGGCAGAGAAGCAGCAGCGGAGCTTCTCTTCAATAAGCAGGTGAGTCACATCGTATGGGTGCGAAAGAGACAGCGATTGATATCGATCGCGGCCTTGAACTTGTTTCCATTTTGTATGCCCCATTGCCAATTGGGATTGAAATAGAGTGAGAGAGACGGGATGTGATCTAATTCGAATTTCTGAATGGAGATTTTATTGAGCCTTATAACGGTTCATTCGAATTTATTAAATTCTATTCTATTTAAATTTGATTTTACTCACATGTTTTTGGAACTGTAATTTAATTAGATTTAATTTAAAAAATCTATTATTTTAACTGTCTTAAACCTTAATTGTCTTATGGTTAAATAAGTGTATATAAATTATGAATATTTAATAAATCCGATAGTGCATTATATTTAAGCTGGCATTAAATTTACAGCATTTAAATTTAATCTTTTTAAAAACGTATTATCAATACGGTATTGTTTTATTTACCGATTCTAATCAGTTGAATGACCGTCAGTAATCAAGTCAACGAATAGTATAATAAATAAAGTATAAATACAATAATAAATAAAGTATAAATACAAATCCACACAGCCAAAAAGGTAGCACAAAAAAATAAAACAATAATCATAGTTAGGGCAGTCGTGTGTTAAGCGCCAATAGAAATGCAAAACAATTAGGCGGGATGGAGTCAAACACAAAAACCGGCGAACAAAACACTCGTAAAGCAACAAAAAAAACTATAAACATGAGTAACAACAAACCAAAATAAATAAACACGCATAACGATTTTTTGATAAGAACGGACGGTGCGGGTCGGGACTATAAAGCTAAAATAGCCACAAAACGTTGAACTTTGCGGGGAGGCCGTTTAACGATTAATAAAATACTTTTAGTTTGCATGAAAATAAATGAACGTTTAATTAATTCATGGGCTCGAAGTTATTCTTTTCGTTTGTTTAGCATTCACTTCCTTTCTAGGCCCTACAATTTGTTTGTATTTATTTATTTAAAAATATGTTCTAGACATATTTTAAAAACCTTAAAAGAAATAGCAAAACTATTTCTATTTCATATAGAATAGATACACAGTTTTTGCACACCATTGACGTTAGTAATGATGATGTTTCACCACATCTGGGGTGCCCACTTTCTTATCACCGGAGAATATACCTTACTTATCAGGCCCCCAAAGCAAACACTTTTCAAAAACAAGCGTAAAACAAGACAAATTATTACTGATGCCCACACAATGGAGACTCGATAAAATTCACTTATTATATTTAGCAAACCATCTCAAAATATTAAATACATTTATTTTTTTGAATATTTATTTTATTTAAAATAAATTAATTAATCTCGAATAATTGTTTCAAACTAATTGAAGTAAGAAAAGAAAAAATACTTTGAAAATAAGATATTCTAGTCGTTGTTCAACGATCACAAGCATTACCAAATTTATTTAAAATGTTGTTTACATTTTAATGGTTATAGCAAAGTTTTAGATTTTTTAGTTAGAACTCTAAAATGTTTGGACTGTTTTTTGGCTTTAAATCTTTCGAGAATGACCACCAACTTGGCTGCCATTGAGATTTCTTGATTTTCCTGTTTCTTCCGCATGCTTGTTTGTCTTTTTTGGATTCTTTCAGTTTGTTTGGCCAGAGATTTTTATTATGTACCATTGAAGGTTGTCTGAACTGACACCTTTTCGGAGCTGTGTGTCTCGTGGTGCCTTAAACATTTTATTTTATTTTTATCACCTCACTGACCGTCGCCGGCTGTTTTCGTCACAGTTGCCGGCATAAGTTTCGTGCCCTTGGCATTGACCGTCGTCCACACGCTCAGCAAAAAGCCATTCATCACCAACCGACTTGGGGCGTTCGACTTTGGTTTTTTTTTTTTCCACTCCCGTCTGCCGCATTATTATTAAATTACAAATTCAAATTGTCGCTAGTGCAACGACTTCAATTAATATGCATTAAAATAATTGGCAATGTGACCCCTGGACCGGATTTTTTGGTCATGACTCGCCAGCCATTGGGAAAACAATTGAATAACACCAATTGGGACTTTTGCGAAACGATGTCAAAGGAGGCGATTAATTGTTAGCCAGCAAACAGATTTTGAGGTCATTTAATGCATTGCAATTTGAGGTAATCAGAGATTTTAATTATTTGCTTAGCACTTTGTCTTGCTGACAGATTTATGACAGCATTAGTTTAAGTTTTTGTTTTTGTTTCGCTTTTAGTGAGCTTTAATAAGCTAAATACGTTTTAGTTTGCTTTAAAGCATGTTATTTAGAAAGAGTTTATATAAATATGCTGTTTAGCATGCAGCAATACTCTTAAAACACTTTTGAAATCAAGGTTCTTTTCGCACATCCATTTTTATAAATATATTTAACTGTAATAAGCTTTTATTTTTGTTAGCTAATATTTTTGAATTTTTTTCTTAAGCCGTATGTGTCTTTTAGACAGTTAAAAGTGGTTGTTTAATTTATCGTACTTTAAAATGATGTATTTGAGCTTAAAGCATGATTTTCAAACGTACAACTTCTATAATAGCACTTTCCACACAACCCAACTTAGTTTCCTTACTTTTTTTTCGCTTTATTTATTTTACAGTATTATTCAAAACAAATGTTCGGATAAATGCATAAAAATGTTGATATTCCCTGCCAGCTTTGGATGAGAAACAATTCCAGAGGCTCCGAG